AAGGTCTGCCAATAGCTGGATGGAAATTTTAAGATTTTAGTCCCCCATTTGTATTTGCTCCACCCAATTCAATTCAACAAGCATTTATTATTGTACAGAAAATCACCCATACTCAATAGATCCATCCTACTTGTGACTGACAACTACCATGAGTCTGTGATATAGCTGGCCAGGGTTGGGGTACAGCAGCTACCTGATCCTAGGTTTCATATAATATAGGAAACTCTGGCTAAAGGAGAACTTGGAAAAATTATGAGTCTTATCCTGGGATCATGGCTTTAGAGCTAAAGGGCCCTTAGAGGCTGTCTAATCCAACTTCCCTCAATATACATATAAGGAAACTGAGGCTCAAAAAGGTCACACAGCTAGAAAGTATTAGAGGCAAGATGAAAGTAACTGGTGGTGACAGTTTCTATTTAAGGTCCATGTGTCCTCAGGCAATCAGTACCCAAATGCTTCAGTATAGTTATGGTCTTCACCCGCCCCCAAAGGGATCAGACCATGACTTTGGCCTTAGAAGGCCAAGACTCACAAATCTGGCTAACCCGTCACGATGAAAACTAAATCTATATCAGGGTGTCTGAGAGGCTTTCAAAACATTCATACAATATAGAAAGAGCTGTATATACAACTTGCATCATACTTGAGCAGCTTAAAAATAATCCCACTTTCATAAGACTCCTTAAAAGAAACAAGAACCTGGTCAGTGATAGACCTGCAACTGGACATTCTAGAGGCCAGTGCAAGAACATGAAGAATATCATTACTGCCAGTAAAAGTAAGCATTGATTAAGTTCTTACTATGTATAAGGCACTGGATGAGCTATTCAGGACATAAAAAAGTTTAGAATACAACCCCATAAGAAATTTCTAATCCACTGCGGAAGGCAGAACTGGATCAGAATTATAGACGCCCAGATTTAAAGCTGGAAGATACCTTATCTAGCCCAACCCTCTCATTTTATATATAGAAAGCTAAAGCTGGGAAAGGTTAAGTGATTTGCCCAAGGTCACAGAAGTGTAACAGAGCTTGGATTTGAGCCCTACTTCCAGACCCTCCCCCCCAAAACAATTACATATACATGTATAGGAATACATACATATGTATATATGTACAAATACATATTTGTATACTGTATACATACATGTATATATGTATATAGATAAGATAAATGATAATACGTGGTACTATAGGACAAATGTTCAGTTGACTGTTAGAGTAGTTAAGTACTAGAGGAAATGAGAGGATGGAGCAATTATTGTGGGCTTGACAGAGAAGGCTTCCTGGAAGAGAAAGAACTTAAAGTAGGATGTGAGTTGTATCTTGAAGACAAGATAAGACTTGGATAAACAGGAAGGAGGAAGGAGGACAACCCAAGCAGCGGGAGTGGGATGAGCAAAGCTACGGAGATGAGTATGTTTATTGTATTGCATCTTCCTAAAGTGATGAGCTGTGATGGAAAAATATGGATTGTACAGAAGGGAAAATAAAGTTTAAAAGGAAGGTTACAGCTAGATTGTGGAGAGCTCTGAATGCCAGACTAATAGTTATAGACTTTTTTCTTCAAGCTGTCAGGAGACATTGAAGGTTTTTAAGCAAGAGAGTGACGTAATCAGAGCCAGCCATACCCATAGAAGGATTTATCAGGCTGTGGTACCTACAATGGACTAGAAGGCGAACAGTACCAAGCAGAAAAATCCCAGAGGTCGGATGGGAGGCAGAAGGGCCTAATAGAAAGACTACTAAATTTGGAGACCCAGGATCTGAATCCCAGATCTGCTACTTATTCCCTGGGCAAGCCCCTTAACTTCTCTGAGCCTTGGTTCTCTCATCTGTAAAATGAGGCAGTTGTACTCCATGACTTCTGAGATCCCTTTTGATTTAGCATCTAAACCTATGTATGATCCCATGAATAACTTCTATTTAAAGCATAAAATCATAAATGAGTTTAAACTAAGTAGAGATGTAGCCTAGAAAATGTAAACACACAGAGATTGGGAATAAAAAACATAGCAAAGGAAATTTTTTTATTCCATCAGCCTTCAACAGAAACGTCCAGGTTGGGGGTGAGTTAACAGATATATTATTTATCCTTTGACTCACCTCGTGGATTGTGTTTGAACCTTGTCTTGTGATGTCAGATGAAGTTTACAGCCCCTTTAGTAAAGTCATGTTAATGACAAAATTGTATGCCTGTTTTTAATACAATATTCACATACCCACTTAAAGCTGGTAGTGATCCAAAAAGGCTGCTTTGCTCCCAAATGAATCAAACCTTCCAGTTATTTTGCTCACCAATCTTTTTCTAGCTTCTGTTGCCAGCCATTCCTTGGCCTGAATTAACATAACACAGATCACTGAGCTCCCCCTGGGGGAGATTAGGGAGATACAGTGGCAGCCCGTGCTCTCTCTCTCTCTCCCTCTCTCTCTCTCTCTCTCTCTCTTTCTCTTCTTTCTCTCTTTCACTACCCCTTTCCCTATCTCCCTCTCTCTTTCTGTTTCTATCTCGATTTCAGCTTCTTTCTCTGTGTCTCTGTCTTTCTGTTTCTCTCTCTCTCTTTGTATATCGCTCTGTCTCCACCCCTCTCGAATTTCTACTTGTCTCTGTGTCTGTCTCTGTCTGTTTCTCCTCCACCCTCACCCCCTTCTTTTCCTCCCTCCTGCCCTCCTACCCCAATTGTGATTTGCTCAGGGACCTGACTGGTCCTTCTGACAAGTTCATAGGCTTCCTCTGCTGTTGCTGTAAACTGTGTTTTTTTCTTAGTGCAGTTTGGTTGGGTTTTTAAAAATCAAAATAAACCTTATTTGTTGTAAGAATGGGTGTAGCCTTTTAGGTGTGGGTTCCTGTTTTCTCTCGATTTTTATCTGCTGCATTGCTGCCTTCTTGTATATCGTACTTGCATAAGCCACAGTCTTTCTTTCACTATGAGATGGAAAACATTTATTTATTATTTTTCCCATTCCTTCTCCCTCTCATTAGACCTGCATCCCTTCTTCCCAGAAAGAAAGTGAAATAAAATTATACAGTATACTTTAATGGTTATTCTTGATTAAATGCAGAAAGATAGAGAAGGAGGAAGAGGAAAGAGGGGATAATAAGGAAGAAAAAGGAAGAAAAAAGGAAGGAAGGAAGGAAAGAAGGAAGGAAAGAAGGAAAGAAGCTTTCTGTAAGATAACTCCATCTCTCTTTCTTCCCGCCCAGATCATTGTGTAAGTATAAAGATCACATAAGCATTGATTAGTCTTACCAAAGCTGTCTCATTTGTCAAAATCCAACTGGTCTAGCTAAATGAAAGGGGAAAACATAAAGAAAACCAAGAAGGGAGGATTGGGGGAGGGAGTGCCTAAGAAAAGAGTAAGGTGGGGTAGAAAATAAATATTGTTTCAGTGCCTCTTGAAACAGAAAGTTTTAGAGATTAGACTTCTTAAAACCAGGAACAGGTCTTAAGAAAGCCAGACATAAGAGCTTCTAACATCTGGAAGAACACAAAATGAATGACCTGAAGAGAAAACCCTTGTAGAGAAAGAAAAGCATTTTTTTCTTTGGGGCACTATGAGGCTAATCTTGTGGTTTGTGGTTTAGTGATAATGGCAAGAAAAGACAAAGAGGCCAACCTTTTAATTAATGAATAACCAACAAGCTTTTAAAGTCATGTGTATGCCTTTCAAATAATTCATTTTCAGAACTGTCACTCATCCAACATTTCAGCAAAAATGAAACTACTTTATTAAAAATGTTTAGGGAATAAGGTGTCAAAATTTCAAAGCTCTCTTTGGTATATGTACAATAATTCAGTCTTGAATTTTATATAGCAGATTTCCTCCAGTGTTTAAAATACCCTTTTCACATCTATTGCAATGTCCTCTCCATCATCAGTCATATTTTCTCAGTGGAAAGCCAAGAGATTGGAAATGGCTTATTCAATTATGAGACATTTAAATCCATTAGGGAAAAAAAGTTGGGGCTCATTAGTAGCCCAGCACACCCAACAAGTTTCTCTGAAAAATTTCTATAACTAATTTCCCTTCTTATTTCTTACCACAATGTTTCAATTTTCTACTTTATGAAGCTCCAGTACTCCCTGATTCTCTCCTTTCCTCTTTACCTCAATGCCCTACCACTAAGTACAATTGTTCCTCCTTCCTGCTGGTCTAGTCCCAATGTATGTACAACACATAATTTAAAAACAATTCATCGGATTTTAAAATGCCATTCTACTGATACACACACTGGCTAGGCCAAAACTCAAAATGAACATTTCTTGGGTTTTGATGATGTTGGAACCAATTAATCAGAAAGTATTTACTGAGTGACTGCCATATACTTGAGCTATAAGGCTTCCAAACTATTGAGTAGATCATATAGCTAGAAGGGACTTTAGAGTCCATGGTATCCAATCACCTCATGATACAGAGAAAGAAACTGAGGCTCAGAGAGGTTAAGTGACATCCAAGGTCACATAAGTATTAAGTAACAAATTTGGGATTTGAACTTGGGTCTTCTAACTCCAAATCCAGAGCTCTTTCTACTGCACCACAAAAGAAGAATTTATAGCACAGAGTCAGAGTCACAAAAGATGAGAATGTGAGGATGGGTTGTGACTTGGATCATTGGATGGAGTAACCCACATGGACGAAATTACAGATTCACCAAACTATTGAAGCACTACTAAATACCCAACATTTTAACATCTCCCTCCTCTCAGAGAAATACCTTGATCAGCTTGGATAACGATTCCTTATAACCCTCAAGTTGTAACATCATTAATGGCACCAAACAATACAACTTAGAGCAATCAAGTTACACAGATGAACCAAGTAAATCTTAAGTACCATTACTAATACCAGCAATGGGAAGGAAGTCAGTCCTCCGAAACTGTGAGTCAGTGAAGAAGTGGAGACCATTTTTCTGGCCTTGCTTCTACGTGTTCCCAATAGCCAACACATGATAGAGTATAGATTTTGTTAATAAATAGTGTGCAGGGAAATAGCCACTTACCTATATAAATGTAACATGTGGACATACTGATTCTCCAAGATTTCATAATTGGAAATGATGTTTGAGTCACTAATGGCATGGCCGTTTTTATACCAAGTTACCTCTGGCTTGGGTTGACCTGGTAACGGAAATAAGAACATTACTTTTCTTTTCTTTAAACAAATGTTTTAGAAAAATTTAAAAATCCGCTGAGCTGTGATCCACTGAAGAGCCCCAGGAACAGCATGGACAGTAACCATATAGCAGTAAGACTATGTAAAAACATAAGTTAGGTTCTAGGGGAGATTAAGGGGATGATTAAGGAGACTAAGGAGAAAAGAGTTAAACTGGTTTTACAAATATCACTTTCCTTTAAAGGACTCAAGAATTAAGGAATCTGGGCTGCTTGGCTAGGTGTTATGCTGTCATTCTTGATATAATTGCCAGAAATTCATCACTAGCCCTTTCTATGCTTTTTTCCCTCTAGTGTGTTCATTAGTCAGTAATGCAGCATTAGGCAATGCTGACTGGGTGGATATGGAGAAACCCTAGAACTTCCAACCTGTGCGCTCTTTCCCATTTTCAGGAAGCTTTTGGGTTGGGCTATTATTTGGGTATAGGCTATGTAAAGTCCCAGGGGATCTTTTTTTTTTTTTTTTAACTAACCTCCATCTCAGGGGAAAATCCTTAAAGATGTTACAACAGGAAAAAAAAAGGATCAGGACTTGGAAATGTCTGGTCATCTTAAATTCACTTCCAGAATTTGTTCATAATCCTCTCATATCATGTATCTAGGAATTTCTGGCTGACAGCCCCAGCTATCATTAAAGGTAGTGATTCTTATCCTTCTAAGGACATTTAAAGAAGAAAAAAATGAAAGGAGGGTGAGAGAGACCACAAGATAGAGGCAGCAGAGACATGTACAGAGAAAAGATTGCAGAGCTTGAAAAAAGTCCACAAAGGTCACTCTGTCTCTCATTCATTTTTAGTCTCCCTGGCCTTAGCTCTAATGGCTGCTGCTTGACTGCTCCCTCTGAGCATGCTGTGAATGTCCTTCCTGGCAAATGAGACAAATTCCTCCCCAATGGCTTGTCCCTTCAGGTAGGAGCCTGAGTAAGTGGTCTGCTAAGTGAGAGGCAGACAAGCTGGCAGGCCAGGACATGCCTTTCCCCTGGGCTCTTGCTGTGGGTATAACTTCCACAGGCACCTCATCCGAGCAAATGATTAAACAAATAGGAATTGCTTCTTTGTGATTGTTTCTATCCATTAGAGAGCTGAGTCCAACTTGGGCCTTAGAGTCATATGGCCCTTCTTTACCTCTTTGCCTTATGGTTCCCTTTCAATCAGTTTTTATTATTCTCATTTTTCCTATGATTCATTTCTTTTTCTTTTCAATGTGGTTCATATAGAGTAAGTTTTTGAAGGCAGAGCTCACTCTGTTAGGTCTATACAGGATGATATTAAGTTTAAAAGTATAAGATGGGTTTGGACTACATGTAGGGAAACAATTACTTTGTCAGGATACCAGAACCATAACTAGCAATAGGGCAAATTGCTTGAGGGCACAGACATGGGTTGGGGAGTAAAAATAATAAAAGTAAGATGAGACCTCCCTGTATTGTCAGGAACTCACTGAAATACAAGGCTTGGATAGGCTGGACCCACCTATGGACTATATATAACCATCACCTTAGACTCTGAAAGTCACCAAGTGACTTGATAATTTCAGAAGTCCCTCGATGGGAGAGAGTAGAGGTAATGGAGGGGAAATCTCATCTGTAGATTAGATTAGATTAACATTGAGGCTTTTTGGATAACATTGAGAAATATATTCTGGGTGCCAATAAGGGCTAAGAAATATCTAGGTTTTTGCTTCTACTTCTGTCTGTCCTACTATAGAGGCATAACCTAAAAGTAGAGCATATCCCATGGAGTCATCTAAACAAAGCTATCCCACAACTCTGCCAAAGACAGGTCTATAGTATAACCTTTGCTGAGAAAGTAAAGACTGCTGTATCTTTTCAGTTTTCCCCCCTTCCAATTAAATATCTAAGGGATGAATACTAATAAAAGTTCAAGTTGTGGATTTAGACTCAAAAGACCTGGTCCAGGTGTCCAAACTGCTATGTGACCTTGGGCAAGTTATGTGACTTTTCTGAATCTCAGTTTCTACAACTCTAACATGAGAATCATAATACTTTTTTTCCCTTACACATAGTTCAAAGCTACTTTACACTTGCAAGTTTGATATTAGGCTATATAACTATGATACTGTGAGCTCTGGTTTCAATTACTTCAAAAAACAAGAGAAGGAAAGAAAGGGACAAGACAGAAGTGGAGGGTAGAGAAGAATAGAAGAAGAGAGGTAAATGAACCAGAGAAAAATGAGAATAATAACAAATTGAAAGGGAAGTATAGCTAAGCTGTAATTTGGATTTGCTCCACCCCTAAATAGAAGAAATCATGTGATTTCTCAAAGTAATAACTGATTCACAGAATTGTTAAAAAGATCAGATTAGATCATTTATAGGAAGCACTCTAGAAAACAGGTTCTTAACCTGGGGGTCAGCAAATTTATTTTTTAAAATAGTTTAACAACTATTTCAACACAATTTTTGTAAACCTACCCATTTTATAAGCATTTAAAAACATTATTATCAAGTGTGCATAACCTTCATCAGACTGCCAAAAGGATCCACGACAGAAAAGGTTAAAAAACCTTAGTCCATTGGAAAAACCACTGGGATAAGAAATAAGGAAACCTAGGTTCTCATGGCAGCTCAGTCATTTACTAAACCTGTGAACTTGCTGGCACTGAACCTCTTGGTGTTTCAATTTCCCAATGTGGAAATTAAGGGGGTTGCATCTGATCATCTTTAAGCGTCCCATTCAGATTTGACAGTCTATAATTCTATTTAAAAGTAAATAAATGTTATTATTTCCTACTTATATCCAAGAAGGTAAATGGAGGGCACCTTCTTGCCCATTAAAGGGGATAGAATGGTTAACTAATTTACACCAGTTTTAGTTTATTTTATTAGAAAATGAGCATCATTGAGTATCACTATACTGTCAACTCAATTGCTTCTCCTCTGTTTACAGATGACTCAAGTTTTATCCATTTATCTATTCATTTGTTTTGTTTTTTCAAAGAGGGCAAAGAGGAAGAAGGAAATTAATTTAAAAAGTCATGCTAGTTGATGGCTGCTCTGGTAGGGGGAAAAATAGGAAATGAGTAAAGAGATACAAGATATCATCAAAACAGAGTGTTTTGTATTAAGTGTAGGTTTCAGGTATTTATACTAGCTGCCACAGATTGGATAATAATATGGGAGGGCATCAAAACTTGGGTTAAATGCAATGGATCCTATTGTTCTCGTACCTTCAAATTTAAAGTATCCACCCTGCTTTTCTATAAACAATCAGGAAACTACAAAAGTGGAAATTTACCCATGCTATCAGTTGCAATCTTGCCCTTAGGCAGCTTTACCCAGAAAGGAAGGGAATGAGCATTTAATATAGAGTTCTGCTATGTTACAAGTACTGTGCTAAGCACATTTTACAAATACTATCTCCTTTGATCCTTACAACAACTCTGCCGGGTGGGTGCTATTATTAAGTAAACTGAGGCAAACAAAGGTTAAATGACTTGCCCACGTTCACATACAGCCACTGAGGAGGGAAGGTAGGTAAAGGTTCTTCTATGTTTGGGAAGATTTTCTATTGTATCAAAAATATTACATCAGCAAAAAGTTCGTAAGAAGTAGCATTAGTAAGTATGCTAAATTAAAACATGAACAAAACAAATGAAAAAGAACAAAAAGCCTTTTCTGTGATTAGGTTTTAGATGCTGATTAGCCTGTGACGATTACCAGATACTGTGCAGCGAAGAACAAGATCTGACTTCTCAGGAACCTTTTGAGAAGGCAAAGTCGATAGGAAACACAGGGCACTCCTCGGGGCCAGCTCAGAATCCGTCATCCTTTCATGCCATGTAAATCTGGGGGAATAAAGTCTTCTTTGTTAATGGTTCTTCATACTAGATTCTGGAATATATTCAGCCTTCTACCTGTTTTTATATAGGCTTCTAGCTAATGGTTTTTCCTACCTTTGGACTAGTAAAATCTTTGAGTTCTCATAGCTAAGATAGAGAGGAAAAAATTGGTGGAAACAAGATGAAGGGATTCACCTGAGACTAGTAGTCTATTCTATACTGAAACATATCTTCTCTGCTTCTCCCTCCAACACAATGCTCTTGTGCTAATCTTCCTGATGCATGATTTGGAGCATGGAACTGCTTTGCTCAAAAACTTTTGATGGCTCCCTCTTGCCTACTGAATAAAGTATAAACTCTTTATCCTAATATTCAAGGCTGTCCAAAGGCTCCAAACTACCTGTCTAGCCCTGTCTCATACTTGTCTCCAATTTGGACTACTCCTATTCTCTATGCTTATCCCAATGTGTGTTTCCTATTTCAGGGCCTTTTGATCATTTAGATCAAATGAGATAATATTTGCAAAGCACTTAGCATAGTGTCTGGCACATAGTAGGTGTCAGATAAATGTTAGCTATTATTAGCAGCTAGGTGGCTCAGTGGATAGAATGCCAGGCCTATTTAGGAAGACTCATCTTTCTTAGTTTATATCTGGCCCCAGACACTTACTAGCTGTGTGACCCTGGGCAAGTCACTTAACCCTATTTACCTCAGTTCCTCTCATCTGTAAAATGAACTGGAGAAGGAAATGGCCACTCTAGGATCTTTGCCAAGAAAACTCCAAATAGGGTCACAAAGAGTCAGACATGACTGAAAAATGACTGAACTCCAACAACAGCTAAGCTATTGTTATTATCAGGAGCAGCGTATTGCGTCCCCCATGTATGGAACAGAAGTACTGTCTCTGCCTGTAGGGATTCATCATTTTCTGTAAGTCCCAGCTCAGGTTCTCTCTCCTCCATAAACCAGCTCCCTCAACTCCTGAAAATGACTAATCCCTCCTCTAACTTCTTGTAGCACTTTGAATATTTCCTATGTGCTTATGACATTCTCTCTTTTATTATAGTTCTTCTGTGTACACACTTTATCCTGGGCTACAGACACAGACACACAGACACACAGACCACATTAATAGTTCATAAGATCCCTAAGGGCAGTGTCTGGCTAGCATGATGTAGGGCTAGAAGCCCTGGACTTGGAACCAGAAGACCTAGATTTGAATCCCAGCTCTATAACTTCCTACATGTAGAACCCTGTGCAAGTCATGGAAGTCCTCTGAATTTCAGTTTCCTCATCTATAAAGTGTTGTGTTGTTCAGTCATGTCTGACTCTTCATGACCCCATTTGGGGTTTTCTTGGCAAAGATTCTGGAATGGTTTGCCATTTCCTTCTCCAGCGCATTTTACAGGCAAGGATACTGAGGCAAACATGGTTAAGTGACTTGTTCAGGGTCAGCTAGTGAGTGTCTGAGGCCATATTTGAACTCAGGTTTTCCTGACCCCAGGTCCAGTGCTCTATCCACTGTACCATCTTGTATAAGTCAGTTCTCTGACCCTTACTTTCCTCATCTGTAAATGGGCATAATAATATTTGTACCATCTAGCTTAGACGGTTGTTGTGAGAACCAAATGTGATAAATATATATAAAGTATTATGTATATAACCATGAATTATTATTATCTTTATTACATAGGTGCCTAGCACAGTGCCTTACTCATAGTAATGTGATTGTTGCAATGAACTGAATCTATCAATTTTGTTTTTTGATGTCATGTTCTCATGCATCTCCGATATTTGTTTATCCTTTGTAAAAAAAGATCATTCTCTGAACTTTCTATCTTATCTGGCTACTCTTCCACATCTTTCCTCCTCTGCACTGCCTTGCCCTGGTCAGAGGATTAACTGGAGTAACTGTGTTCAGATCTGAGTCATTGATAAACTGGAAAACATTTAGAGAAGGATTGAGAAGGGCCTCACATTCATGCCACATAAGTGGCAGTGGGAAGAAATGGGGATGATTAGCTTGGAGAACCTGAGACTTCAGGAGAACAAGAAGAATGAATAAATGAAGGAATGAATATCATTTGTTAAGTGTTTATAGTGTGCCAGGCACTGTGCTAAGCTCTGGGAATACATATACAAACAGATGGCTATTTTCAAACAGTTGAAGGGCTATCTTGAGGCAGAAGAATTGGATTTGTTCTGCTTGCCCCTACAAGGTCTAATAGGAACAGTTAACTATTAGAGGTTAACACTTTGAAGACGATTGCCTCATACAACATATCTTTCCTTCAGGAACAAGATAGATTATTTGACCTCTGAGGGCTCATTTAACTGTGATTCTGTGAGGGTGAAAGGACAAACTACTGGCGTAATTTTGGAACCTGAAGTGAGCCTTGAAGAGAGATAAAGATACTGGGTTTGGGATGAAGGACTCGGGGGTAGATGGCTTAATAAATGCCAGAGAATGAGAGATGAGTATTTCAAGTTGGAAGAGTCAGATTTGGCTAGAACATAGAAATTGAGGTGCAGGGGGAATAGTATGAAATAAGTCATATGAAACAAAGGAAGTAGCCTTCAATAATCACCAATAAGCAAAAGTATACTTTACCCTTCAATAGTGTATCAAATTTGTCAGGAATAAGCCAATTACATTGAAAATGATGGTAGAAAAGGTAACTATGAAATCCCAATCATCACATTTAAAGAGACCTTACACCTTTCAGTCAGTAACCCTCCTATCATTTGAGTTATCATAATCTTAATTTTTTTTAAACATGTGGCTAACTTTAATGGTATTCCTATCAATCAGAAAAAGAATTCCCCTTTATTTTGTAATTCCCACCCTGCCATTGTTATTATGAAGAGAGCTCTCATCTCTCCCTCTCCCCAGAATCAAGGTAAGAGAATGACAGAACAAACAAACTTGTCAGGACCATGTCGACCCGGGTCACTTATGTCTCTTCTCTCAGTTACTCATGTGCTATAATACTGAGAAAAGCACTTCATTTGACTCCTCTCATCATCTCAGTTAGCACATATTGCAACCACAGGGCACTGACTGTACCCAGGGAAGAAGGATGATAGCTAAAGAGGGTTATTTGAGGCTTTCTTTGAGGCTAAGAATCATTGCAGATAAATGCTAAGAGGTTTATTAATTGTAGCTATTTTAATACGAATTTAACTCTGCTGGAGAGTAAATTCAACATGTACAGGCAACCTGAAGTTACTGGGATGAATGGAAGGGAACAGTGGTGGGGTATTAGCTAATCTTAGACGGTAAATCCACCTAAATGGGATTCCCCTCCCTGTGGCCATGAGCCAACTGGAGACTGTGGTTGCTGTCAGCAAGGAGAAGTGATTCTGGGACGAAGGCCATGTGTCACCCCCAGATGACGGGGAACGGGTCCCAGACAACACACAGAAAAAGAACAGATACTTAGGAGCTGATTGTTAATGCTGCGGTAGAGATAATTTCTCACTGTAGGTAGACTGGGTCCTGCTTATGCAGAATAATCCTAAAGACTGAATGGCAGCATTGTGTAGTTGATATATTGTTGGACTTAGAGTCAAGAAGACCTGCAAATGTTGCCTCACACAATTAGTAATTTTGTGGCCCTGGGTAGGCTACTTAACCTCTATAGATTTGGTTTTATCATTTGCAAAATGAGGGGGTTGGATTCAAGATTTCTAAGAAACCTTCCAATTCTAAATCTCTAAGTCTATTATGTGCCCCTTCTAATGAAAATTAGGGAAGGCAACACTCTTCAACTATGTAGTGGGATAAGTTGGTTTAGGGCTATTCTGAAGGAATATATTAGGGAATGGAGCAGAGAAAGAGTAAGTCTAGGGGAGTTAAAATCATAGAATGTGATGGGTGGAGGGCTTCTTTCTCTCCTGGGACAACTACCATTTAATGGATATGAAAACTGAGCTCTAAAGAGATAGTCATTCATTTGACACAACAATTATTTAAAGAAATAACAAGTATTCAGACTTAGGTATCCTGACTTCTAGTCCAAAACATGGAAAGATTGGACACTGAATGTCCTGGCTTCCTGCTTCTTTCCCTTTTAAGGACTAGGATAAGGAAAGCAAGCAAGATTGTGCTACTATAAATGTATAATATACAACTAAAATAATGAAGCAGATTTTCACATACCTTTCCTAACCTCAGTTTCCTAATCCCAAAAATGAGGATAATAATAGCACCTATTTCACAGAGTTGTTGAGAGGATCAAATGAGATAATATATATAAAATGCTTTGCAAATCCTAAAACTATATAATTGTTAGCTATTATTACCATTATTTTAAAGTGGTATTTTATTTTACCATAAGTTGCTGGCTACTGTATCCAAATTTAATTTTCAGGTTCCCTCAAACCTACTCTCTTTTTCATCTTAGGTCCTTTGCGGCAACATTTCCCAACCTCTTGTTCAATCACTCTTGCACTTTCACTCCCACCAGTCAAAAACCTTCTTTCCAAACCCTCATTCATGCTAAAATATACATGATTTCTCCTTGGAAAAATCTTCTTCTGGTGCCTCAGTAGCATGGATATGATCTTGAATTCCCAAAGTCAGTACCAACAGTGCACAAGGACTGGTGATTTCTACCTAAGTAAAAAGGCTTCAACTGTAGTCTCAGCAATAAACTTTATCTGTTCCCCAAAGATCAACCTAGCTAAATATAAAACGAATTATAACTAGAAGGTAATGAATTCTCTGGCTTTGGGTGATCCACAGAATAGCTAAAAATACAAACTAGACAACCTTCTTCCTCTTCTATAAGAGGTTGGTGGAATGTGGGAGGAGAGGCTTAAGGATGTTAAGAATTATAGCAGCTAGATGGCACAGAGGATAGAGTGCTGGAATTGGAGTCAGGAAGACCTGAGTTTGAATCCTGCTTCACACACTTACTGGTTTTGTGACTCTGGGCAAGTCACTTAACCTCTATTTGCCTTAATTTCCTCCCCTGTAAAAAGA